ATCTATAAAAATATTGTATCACCTTCGTCTATGAGATAAATTTAAATAAACGTTTATATAATTAATAATAATGAACCATCAGCAACTGTTAAAACTTAAAACTCATATGATTACTATGTTGTTTTTTTCAAGAGTTGATTTCATATGGATTTTAAAGTTGGCATAAGCTTTGATGTGGTGATTATTGCGCAATAAAGTGCTAATTAACACTCTGACTTTTTGACCGAAATATATGAAAAAGTCTTTAAAAATTGTAAAAGTTAAAGCCATGAATAAAGATTTTTAATCATGAAACAAAAAGACTTTTGATTTAAAACTTACCGTTTAATAAATTTTTTTCATTCAACTTCTTTGTGCGAAAATTGAACTTCTGCAAAGAGTTTAATGTTACAGGGAAATCCATAAGTTAATAATATTTTTGTTTTATTTTAAGAAATTGGAGATAAATCATCACTAAAATAATCAGAAGAATCATCTACACCAAGATAAACACATTTTTTTTATCTCTTTAATCTTTATTTTGGCTGATCATTTACGCTGTCTTCCTTTTTTGTCTCCAGAGCAGAAGTTCAGTATCCTGCTTAGTTCAATCTTGCATTGGTATAAAAATCAATAAATTAATTCATTAACAATTAAGTTATATCTAAAATTATTGTATAAGCTTAAAGTTGTCCACTGTTGTTCGCAAACTAAATACGAACAATATCCAGTAATATTAAATTAAAAGATAATAAAACCAAGAAAAATTTCCCTGTGCTTCAGAAAGATGCAATATATTCAGAGTTGTTTCCATGATCATGATTTTGTGATTGTTACCAAACAACGATTTAAATCAGACAAATAAAAATAATGATTTAAATTGATTTTTTTTGTTTTAATTGTTTTTAATGAATATTTATTGATTTAATCTCATAATTCAATCAATTATTATAGACTAGTCATTGGTCTTAAAATAAAATGTCTGGTAATATTAGAAAGTTCTACATAAGTAGAATATAAATTCTAGTAACATCACTTTTTGTACACTGTTTTAATATATTAGTAGATGTGATTTTACAATCAAACACAGAAATAATCAAACAAAAGAAACATATTTAAAATGTAAAACATCAGCTTCTAATGACACTAGTCACACAAGTGATGACTATTTTTTTGTAAGATTTTGAAGTCATTTTATTCATTAATTATTACTGTATGGCGTTTCAAATGTTTGATTTATGTAATACAGAAGACATTTTAAATTTTCTTCTTCTTTATTAAATAAATCAAACATTTGAAATGTCAATACAGTAAAAACAGTACTGAAAAAAAAAAAAAACAAAAAACTATTGGATCTTACAGAAAATGAATTTGATTATTTCCTTTATTTTACATCGATAATTTAGATTGTAGTAAAATGTTATAAGCACATTATTTAAATGTTAATTAATATTTCATTATTAAAAAAAATAAAACATAAAGTCACGAGAACCTCTTGAAGTTTATTTCTTATAAAGAACATTTTAAGATTCTTAGGAGATTAATAAATATACGTTATTTTTTTTACTTTTGTAATTTAAAAAAATGGAAAGATAATATCGAAAACTTTTTAAATTCTATAAAGCGATACCGTTTTTTAAAAATGTTTTGCAACAAATTTAAGAATATACTAATCCGGCCGAATATTGGCTACGGCATTTGTGTAAGAACAGATTTTTATAGCAAAATATTAAGCCTATACTACATTGGCCCAAAATTTGCCCATCATAGTACGATATTTGAAAAAAACCGAATTGTAGAATTGAAATACTACGCCGAAAAAAAAACATTGGCTAAATGTTGTCCCAATGTAGTACATTATTTGCAAAAAACCAATATGCAGAATTGAAAATAATACGTCAAAAAAAAAATATTGGCTAAATGTTTGCCCAACGGAGTAAATTTGCCAACCTTAAAACTTACGTCGGGCCAATGTAAGCTTGCTATTTGGGATATTCTAAGGATAATTTTTAATTTAAATTAAAAATCTTTAATTATACAATGAAATAAAATGATTAAATTTTGATTAATTTTCATAATATCTCATGAGATGACTATTGGGCTCAATACAATAAAATATTCCTGCCAGCTGCAATATTCCAAAAAATTACTGCTGCTGGCAATAACTATTTCAGCATTTTTTTAAAAAATACTTTTAATTGCTTTCATTTTTTCTACTTTTATCATCTTGTGCTACAGCATTAAAAACTAATTCGACAGTTTCTAAACTTTTTATTTAAATATGCCAAAATGTGTCAGCATTGCAATGATATTTTGCTGATATATTTGTTGTCACGTGTGACATCAAATATAACAGCATATATAATTGCAAAACTATCATTAAAAATAACAGCAAAAATAACAGCAAACGTTTTTAAATATAACACCATAACATTACAGCATAACATCACAGCAAACATAACACCATTATAACGCCAAAATTGTTTGGTCTCCGATAATTTCTTCGAATCCGTGAATATAACAGGGTAAATAGAGGCATTAAAAAATCTGCGTATATAAATGCTGTTATAATGCCGTTAGTTTTTTTAGTGTGTGTTTTAAAAATAATAATGTAGCTAGCTCTTTTTTTGCTTATGGGATTTTTATATAGACCCGTTCATATGCGTTGGTCTACATCTGATTTTTTTAGCGTTCTTATACTTTCTAAAACAATTTCACTCACTCGTTTTCACCTGATGTTGAAATTTTTACACGTTAACAATAAAAATCCAAATGATGTAACTGATGAAAACCGTGATCGATTACACAAAGTACGACCATTAGTTGAACTAATTAGAGACCGATGTAAAAATGTATTCTACCCCGGACAAAATCTTAGCGTTGACGAATCACTTGTATGCTTTAAGGGACGCTTGCATTTTAAGCAATATATTCGTACAAAAAGAGCACGCTTTGGCATAAAACTTTATGAATTGATCGCATCAATTAGTAAAATAACACTAGACGTTTTATTATATAGTGGTAAGAGTATGTTTTATAAAGATAGAAATGAGGATATGCCCAACACTATACGAATACCAGCTGCACTGATGAAAACATTTTTAGACGCAGGACATATACTGTTTACAGATACACAACCCCTTCATTATCAACTTTTCTTTAAAAAAGGAATACACACGTTGCTGAGTTTGCATTAGAAAAAGAGGAAGCTGTATTCTATCGCTCCACAGTTGATTCACGTCTTATTGCATGTAAATATCGAGCTGTCAAAAATAAGTCAGGAAATGAGCAGAAATTTGTATATAAGTTGTCATCTCGCCATTCAGCAAAAAAGATTAACACTGATAAAACCTAGGCAAATGACTCTGCTATATACAAACCATCAGTAGTACGATCATATAATAGTTACATGGGAGGGGTTGACAGAGTTGATCAACATTAACATAGTTTCGTACACTGCGTAAAACTTATTAGTGGCACAAAAAATTAGAGCTCAGATTGATTTCACAGGTAATACTAAATTCACATAAATTTTTCCAGCATGACACTGGAAAATCTAAAATAACATTCCTAGATTTCTTGCATGAAACTATTTCATCTTAAGTACTAATCAACCCGGCTATACCAAACAACCAAATACTTGATGATACAATGTCTCGTTTTACTGGGAAACACTTCCCATTACTTAAAGTAACTTCTCCAGATGCAACAGATAAAAGACCGACCAAAAGATGTAGAGTGTACCATGCAAGTGTGCTGTGCAAGTGTGCTATACAAGTGTGCTATGTAAGTATGCTATGCAAGTGTGTTATGCAAGTGTGCTATGCAAGTGTGTTGTGCAAAAGTAAAACTTGTAACTTGCACATCAACATATGTATATGTAGTAACTTGTACATCAAACATATGTATATGCAGTTTACAGTAGACCAGTCCACTCAAAATTTGTTTAAACTAATATAAATAAATTTGTTGATTTTACCCATCTGAACCAGGGTTTTACCCAGATATTTGTTTTAAATCTTACAACGCTAAACTTAATTATTTATTGTAGTTTGTTTTGTTTATATAGATAGACTTAATCTTTTATTTTTCATGTATTTTATATAGATAGACTTAATCTTTTATCTTTCATCTAATTTATTCTTTCAGGCTACAAATATAATAAAATTTATCTAAAAATAAAAACTTTTACAGAAATCTCTTATTTTTAGAATCCCACCTTTTTCTGGAGTTTTTATGATAAACCTTTTATTTTTTGTTATAAACTAGTTAAGTGATTGCTAAACTGATTTTAAATAATTCTTACTTGTTTATGACATAATATTTTGATTTATTTTTGGATTTTACTGCAAAAACTAACGCAAAATTTTAGTTTATGTCAAAGGTTGTTTTTTAAGTGGTGTGACGTCTTACAAGTGTGAAAAATATTTCTTTTTTTAATTATTATATTCAATCAATATGTTAGTAAAAAAGGGGCTAAGTTTCACAGAGATTTGCTCATTATTTTAGTCACTGCAAGGTTTCAAAGTGTTTGAATCGGAAACAGGAATTTTGACTCTCGGAATATAGGAGTGAAGGGTTTAATGCATTTTATTTAATGCATTTTATTAATGCTTATTTCAAAAGATGATATATCGATTTTTTTAAACTTATTTTAAAATTTATTTAATTTATTTAACTTAAAATTTATTTAATAATAAATATTTATGTAATTATAAAACTGCATAAAACATCTTTACACTTATAACGGAAATTTTTTAGCTGTTGTTTATGTTTTAAATTCAAAATTATTTTTTAATTTACTAGTAAAATACCTTGAAAGCTTGTGTTTTTTCATTTTTTATTATTTATTTTAAATTGCTCTATTTATTTTGTGAATATTTTATTATAAAATTTATTTAGCGGTTCTCAACGACAAGACCTTACAGTCTTTTACGAGTCCCTGTGTTGTTCTATTTTCTAATTTTGCTTAAGTGAACTTTTATTATATTTCTGTATATTTTAGATACAATATTCTTTATGTTATAAAATAATAAAACTCATTAACAAGCGTTATAGTTAAAAAAACAACAGCTAGATAATCAAGGTGGTTGTGATTTTTCAAGTATACGTGTTTCCTATCATTGCACTTGCTACTTGTACGTAGTGTTTTGTGTAGCCTTTTGTTTTGCTTACGTAGTTTAAACATATATCCATGTTTATGAATAACTTAAAAGCTAGACTATCCACCTTAATTATCTTTGTTGAAAGCATATAAATGTCTTACAAATTTGTGCTAATAAAATCAAATAATACATCTTCACTTCATCTTTTATAAAACATAACTGTCCCAATTTATATTTCGGGTAAAAATGTTTACGTTATATCTGATATTTAAATCGAATAACAAACATAGATTTGCAACTTGTGAAAAACTAAGTGAGTAACAATTAGCGTTTTGTAAGCACGTAAAAATGCATGCAGAAGCAACGTATGCTTCATTTGAAGGATCCATATATGTAGCTATTGCATCAGCTGTTTAAAATAAATAGATAAATAAAGAAACATATATATATATATATATATATATATATATATATATATATATATATATATATATATATATATATATATATATATATATATATATATATATATATATATATGTATATATATATATATATATATATTTATATATATATATATATAAATATATATATATATATTTATATATATATATATATATATATATATATATATATATATATATATATACATATATATATATATATATATATATATATATATATATACATATATATATATAAATATACATATATATATATATATATATATATATATATATATATATATATATATATATATATATATATATATATATATATATATATATATATGTATGTATATGTATGTATATATATATATATATATATATATATATATATATATATATATATATATATATATATATATATATATATATATATATATATATATATATATATATATATATATGTATGTATATGTATGTATATATATATATATATATATATATATATATATATATATATATATATATATATATATATATATATACATATATACATATATATATATATATATATATATATATATATATATATATATATATATATATATATATATATATATATATATATATATATATATATATATATATATATATATATATATATATATATATATATATATATATATATATATGTACATATATATAATTTAAGTGACATCTTTAATAGTATGTGTAGTTTATAATTAAAAGCATTAAAACATCATATACGGTATCAAACTATTTATTTCTTTTCTCTATAAGTGATTTTTCTCATATAGTAAGAGCTATTATCAAACTAATAAAACCGTTAAAAAACTGTTTAAAAAATTATAATAAAAGTAAACAAATGATGTCATTGCAACGTCACATTTCAACGTTTTTTAATTTTACAAAAAATGGTTTCCAATCGTTAGTAGAGTTTAAAGCCGTGCTTAGAACATATCACTTGCTGGCTGACAGTTTTAGCAAGTGGCTAAAAGCTAAGCAACTTGGCCAACTAGCTAATACTGACTGACCAACAAAGTTGCTGGCTTCTGGCTGCGCAAATTGCTCTGAATTATAATTAGTATTGTTTTCAACAAAAAGAAAACAAATTTAAGTTTAAATTATTTTTTTTCAATTAAAGTTAAAAATCAAATAAGACTGATATTGTCATGAATAAAGATAGTCATGTTCATATTGGAAGAACTTAATTTGCTTCTTCTTGAGTTCAAAATCAATCCAGTTAATGAAAACATGGATTCCACTGATACACTCGAGGTTGGTATGCTAAAATACTCTTTTGCAAGCACTGCTAAGTGTGGATACTTTGCATGATGATTTCGCCAAAACAATAAACAACCCAGTTCTTCATCTGTCGTAGGTATACGAAATACAAATTGCTCTACTTCCGAATCAATTTGATAATTTTTTTCTGCAGAAGTAACAATTTACTTGATCTCTTGAAGTAGTTGTCCCTTAGCACTAGGACCTGATTTTGAATCTTTATCATTTTCTGACTCTGATATAACTAAAACCAGACAAATCAATTTAATAAAAACCGATATCAATAATAAACAAATGATACTTGAAGAACCCAATAATTTAATAAAATAGTAATTACTGATACTGGTTTAATAACTATTCTGTTTTCCACAATTAATATAAAAAAGTTAATTTTTAATAAAGTTTATTTGTGTTTCAGTAAATTTTTCCAAAACAAAAACTTATTTTATTGATGTTATTAGTTGTATAGACATATAATACCTTGAATTAAATCTAAATGGGTCACTTTTACGTTTAATGCATTCTCCAACAAACTTTCCTTTATTTCATCTCTTGTATATAAAATTTTTGTGGCTGGATCTAAAAAACAGCATAGTTTTGCAGAAGTTAATAACTTAAGTCTTTGGTCAATTTTTTTAGAGCAACATTCCTTTAGCTTTTTTATTTCACTCAAATTATAAGAATTAATTGAAAGTAGTTTTAGTATTTTGTGTTTAACTAATGGCAAAATAGAAAGCGAATTTCCAGCACTGATCACATGGGTTAATGATTCAAATGGTTTTAAAAATTTAACCAATTCTGAAATCAAGGCTTGTTCTTCATTATCTAAACAAAGGTTTTGTCTACCACATGTCTTGAATAAAATTTCTACAGGATCTAATAATTGGTTAATTGATTCTATCATAAAGAGAGCACTGTTCCATCTTGGGCGTATTTGCTGTTTCAGACTTCTATGGTGTCTTTTTATGAAATTATCATCAAATTTTTCTTTACAAGCAATATCTAAATTGTTTGCTTCAATCATGTTTGCTTCATCATAAATTTGAATGGGAAATTGCTGCTCTAAATCATCAATGTCTTTCACTTCAGCAAGGTTTCGAAGATTGTTGTATAACTTTATGTCTGCTTCACAATGTGATTCCTCTAAAAGAAAAGTTGACTTGAAGTTCAGGCAGGTTACAATTTTTCTGCATTTTTCTAACAAACATTTTGTTTCAGTAGAACTATTTATGCCATCACATGTCAATATTAAATGCAAGATATGAGCCAGACAATGTTGTGGATCCTTTGAGCCTAAATGTTTAGATGTTTTTATCATATTCGCTGCTCCGTTGTGCACAGTATGTAGCCTCATATCTCTACAACGCCTCTAAAAAATTCTTGAACAATGTCTTTGATAAAATTATGAAAATTTTCACCTTTATGACTTTCTAAAGGCAAACAAGCCAAGGTAAAAAATTTTTTATGCCAGTTTTCATTAATAATGGAACACTTCAGACCCATATAATTAGTTTTTTTGTACTTTGAAGAATCATCTATTTCTTGTTCACAAGTAATAACAGACAAACCTGCCGTCGGCAGGTTTGTCTGTTACCACTTTGTTTGTGTTTAATTCGGCTAATTTAAGTTGAAAAATGTTAGAGCGATAAAAAATCATTATAAGCCAAGAATATTTAAAATATGAAACAAGTGGCGGACGTTGATGTACTTATATAAAGGAGGAGTGTGTCGTTACTATTTCATCTTAGAGAAAATTTAAATAGCAAATCAAAAAGCTGCACACACAAAAAAAGATGCTCCAAATAACTTGCTGTTTTTAAGTTATACAAGAGAACTTTGGGTTATTAAACTCTTCTTTTTTTTCTTCCAGCCAACAATAGTGACTTTGAAATCGGCTGCGGCTGAATATATTGTTCGATTGGCGGCTTAGTAGTTGCTAATAACGCAAAGTGGCGGCTGTAAAAAGTAGATACAAGTGGCGGCGGCTTCTTGCTAATAGCGACGGCTTTGACCTCTAATCGTTAGCCCTCACGAATTTTTCTGGTGTAGTTGTTTAAAATAATAGAAAGCGTTTTAGGGTTCTCCCAGTTTACTTTGCCATTACAATTTTGTGAGTGTTCTACTATTCCTGATATTTCCCAGTTGGCTTTTGTAACATTAATTTTATGTTTTTGAATTCGTGCGGAAATCTTTTTTCTTGTTTCCCCAATATAACATGCACCACATGTGCAATTAAGTTGGCACAATCCTGGATGACTATTCGGGGGCAGTTTAGACTTGTTACGGCAAAGTATCTTGAGTAAGGGATTACCAAAACGGAAGACTATTTTAAAGCCGACTTTATGAAATTCTCTTCTAAGAACAAGGCCTAACTTTGGGACCCATGTTAAAATAACTAGATTTTTGGTATCAAATTTTTAAGAACAAGATGGATTTGTGGAGTATTTATAATTTTTAGCAATATACGAATACTGTTTATAGAAATGTCCATTTTCAGTATAAATCTTAATAAGAAAATTAATTTCATCCTGAATGTTATGTTCTGAACAAATTTTGTATGCTCGAGCTAAAAACCCTTTAAAAATACGAACAGCAATATTTGGTGAAATAGATGATTTCGGTTTTATAAGTGCGTTTGTAGTTGCATCTTTACGGTGTATGGAAAACATTTTTGTGAAGAGAGTAATTAATTGAAATACAAACATCTAAAAAATTTAATTGGTGTTAAGCATTTTTGTATTTGCATGTATATTGAATGGATTCATCTTGCGAGTTTAAAAGTGTTAAAAAAGAATTTGCGTCATCAGTATTAGTAAATCGAGCATGGCTATCATCAACGTAACATTATAAGTTTACGATGCAATATTGACATTTAGAGCTTGTTAAATAGCATTAGATTCATAATGTTGTAGATATGCTTCTGACAAGACGACCATTATGGATAGACCCATTGGGCCAGAGTTTTTAAAAATATATATTTTGTCTTCCCATAAAAAGTAACACTAACTAATGCAGAGATCAATTAATTATGAATATCTACTAAAGTTAACTTAGTTTGTTGTATTAAATCATCTCTATCTTTGTTTAGCATATCAATAATTGTAATAGTTGCTTTATCAAGTGGTACTGATGGGTATAAATTAATAGCATCAAACAACACTTAAACTTCGTCACTAACAAACCATTCTTTTGCTGTTAATAAAAATGAAGATGAGTTTCTAACACGGCGTTCATTTTTATTCAAAAGCACACTAAAGTGAAAAAGTTTATCCAATGCGAATAATAGTCTCAACAATCGGCACACCACCTCATAAACTTTCGCAACATCTTGTTGAGATCATTCAACCAATTTTGAATAAAAATGAAATTTTTATTGAAAATTGGTTGAATGATCTCAACAATTTTTTCTTTAATGTTTTTTTTTGTGTTTAATACTTTTGCTTAAATCTGTAGATTTTTTAGACTGAAATTTTTAAACCGGTTAGTTCAGCGTAAATCTTATTGTAGTTTTTACTTACAAACGCGTATGATAAAGGAAGCGTTGTAAGCTTAAGCCATTAAAAACTGTTTAAAAACGTTCGCAAAACATTCTTGTGCCCACTAGGTAGTTAGACTAAAAATTTAGTTGGATTTTTTTAGTTAGACTAAAACTAACCTT